TACATGTAAATCCATGGCTAATTCATTTCAATGTATAACAAAAACTACTGTAATGATGTAAAGTAATTAGCCTCCAACTAATAAAAATTAAAAAAAAAAAAAAAAGAACTATCATATTTGTTAATGTCTACAAAATCCTTAAAACCTCCCCTCCTTAAAAAATGTTTAGTGGTGCCTGGGCTTAGTTGCTTTGTGGCATGTGGGATATTAGTTCCCTGACCAGGGATCAAACCTGTGTCTTGGGCATTACAAAGCAGATTTTTAACCACTGGACCACCAGGGAAGACTTTTAGTAATTTGATCTTAATGTTGTATCACAGGAAAAAATGTAAACATTCTTCTTGCCCAGAATAAAATCTACTCATCCATCAACTTACCTATAGCATTCTGACATAAAATTTAACTAATAAAAAATGTTAGCCTTGAATTGGCCTAATGAACAGCAAAATCATTAATACCACTGGGGTCTTCTGCTGAAAACAGCTTAAAATCTGGGAAAATAGTAACAATATATGGAATGATCAGTCTTTATAAGTAACTTTATGATATAAATAACAGCACCATCAGTACTTTTAGCCTATGAGATGATCAGATTATTATGGCAAATATTTTTAAGAATTGAATTGGAAAATATAATCATTACTCACTTCTTTACAGCTTCTCCTGGAGAAAGAGAAGTGACCACTGAACTTCCAGGCTGTGACACGTAGAAGAGCTGTTGTTCATTTTTGGTTGGAGCTATTTTACACTCATGTTCATGGCCCCAGATAACAAGATCGATGAAGTCATCCAAAAACTGCTCTGGAATGAAGTTGGTACTTCCGTGTTTACTCCTATGCCAAGATTTTTAAAAACAAGTATCATAAATGTCCAGAGATATAAAAAAACTTCATAATAAGTCTTTCTCCAGTCACTAAAGATTTATGACATTCCTTCTGTAAGCCAAAAAGTATTCAAGGGGTTGGGGATACAAAGATAGTATCTAATTCCTAATCTCAAAGGGTTTACAAGCTTGCAGGACACAGACAAGTAAAAGCCTCAAAAGAGAAAGCAGTCAATTCTATACAGAAGCAGGTCACAAAAGGTAGAGAGGAATAACTCTCCCTGTGGGAAAGCCAGAAAAGCATGAGCTCTAGCAAGGGTAAAAACCTATAAACTGGTCTGAGTGTACACCAAACAGAAACAGAAGATGGCAGTGAATTTAACCTAAACTTTAAAAAATCAAATCAAATCTCTGAGTATGTCCCGTCACTTTTAACATATTTCTTTTACTGATTAAAATAATGAGAATATCTGCCTTATGTAAAGAGTTTTCAATATTAAATACAATATTGTATGAATGTGATTTTCAAACCCTTATTTCATACCTAGATTAGCTATTATTAAAAGATATTTGAAAACCCAAAGAGAGGAAGACAAGAAAAAAATTTTCCACAATACTGATTTACATCCCTGAAAATTTAAGTACAAGTGTTCAACTACTTCAACCAGCATCCACTTGAGGCAAGCCGACATTCATTCATTCATTCAACAAACATTTACTGAGAGTCTATTGTGTGTCAGGTTTCCCAGGTCTCTTCCAGATCCTGAAGACATAGCAACGAACAAAGTCCTTGCTCGAATGGGGGAAACTAGCAATAACACAACATGTTCGTGTATATGCACACCCACACATATACATATATATATGTCTTTTATATAAAGTTTTGTCAGATAGTGATAAGTGCTATATAGAAAAATAAAGGGAGAAGTTACATGTAAAAAGGAGGCTGTCATACACAGGGTGGTCCAGAAAGGCCTCTCTGACAGGAGACAAGTAGCAGAGGATGGAGATGAAGGACCAGGAATGCCTGAGACCTAGGCAGAGGGAGGAATTGATGGCAAAGGCGCTGACATGGGAATGTGAGCTCAAGAGCAGCAAGGGGACCAGTGTAGCTGAGCAGAATGAATGCATGGAAGAGCAGGAAGTGAAATCAAAGAAGCTCATGTATCTAGGAATGTTTATGTAAAAAAACACTTTTATGTAAAAAATGTATAATGCTATCACAATGACTGAAGAGATGCAGAATAACTCAAATAAACATGATGCATGTGTGCCTTCCTGGAGCACTGGAAAAGGGAGAATTACGATGGTGGGTTGACTCTAACTTATGACATCGAAGCTGATTAGAACAACCTTGTGGAAATATTTTGCATGACAGAATCTGTTTAGGGTTTACCTTCTTTTGCTGAAAGAAAAAGAAAACTGACTGACATATAGAAGCAAATAGGAAATAAAGTGTAAAAGGCTCAAAAATTTTTGCTCAATATGAGAAAATCAGGTGTTTTTTTTTTTTAACAAGACCCTGAAAACATACTTACTCTGAAAATATTAAGTATGTAAGAATGCTGAAGGTGAAAAATGACCCTAACAGCATTACAAAAAAACCCTATTATAATCACAATGAAGGGGCAGAGGGAAAGGAATTGACCTAAGTAACTTTAGAAAGTGGTGTTTTTTACTAGATATAGTAAGGCTATGGACTAAAATAATATACAAACACTGAATCCTGGCTGGCAAATTTTCTCAATTTTGAAATTACTTTATATGTGAATTAAGATTTAAAAAATAAGTAAACATAAAGATAATATAATCCAGGTTTCTACTAGAGAAAGAAGTCTCAAATAAGGGAGAAGACAAAAATGAATGCTGTAGGGCTGGATTCGAATCAGTATGAACTTGTGCTAGGGTTGTTTTTTTTTTTTTTTAAACACATACATTTGTTGTTCAGTTGCTTAGTCGTGTCTGACTCTTTGCGACCCCATGGACTGAAGCACGCCAGGCTTCCCTGTCCTTCACCATCTCTGGAAGTTTGCTCAAACACATATGTACATACAGACATGTATGCATGGATTAATAAATACACATATATTCCTTTAACTCTAGTCATGAGGGCTAAGGAGACCTGCAGTGGCAGTAAGCACACTTAGTGGCCATATCTGTGTTTCTAAATACCACTCTCTGATGAAAGCAATTAGGGCTCCTTGGAGAAGTAGTTGATTCCTGGGCTTGGGAGAAAAATACAAGAGGAGCCTGAAGCATCTTGTAGGACTGGAAGGTTAATGTTCAAAAAGTTCAAAAAACAAAAAGGAAGAGGGCTTGCTGAAAGAGCACAGAAGCCAATATAAAAAAGTTCTCAATGATCAGAGTTGAAACAAAGTAAGCAACAACAAAAACTGCTAATACTGGATTGTACCTCAAAGAATAAAATGAATATCTTGAGTCTATAGTAACATAAATAAATGAATGGAATGAATAAGTAAATAAGTGAGAATGACAAATTTTCCTAACAGAAGACTTTCTGTCAATAATTAGAGAAAGAATAAGGGAAATTTAAAAAGTTACAAACAATACCACAGCATTAATTACTGGAAACAAGATGCAACAGTGGATGCTAAAGCCTGTGGGCCAAAGTCTAAGGGGAAACAGGATATTCACATAGTCTCAATGTATTTTTCCCACAATATTTATTATTATAAAGTAGAAGATGTGACCTTTCCAGTGGAGAAAACTGGTCTGCACCACCTCAATCAAATGATCAAGATTATTAACATCACCCTTAACAGCTACCAGCCATACCAACATTATATTACCCATTCCCCTTAACAATGCTGCCATTCCACCTCTCATTCTGGTATGGAATGGCTTATGACCGTTCCTTCTGACTTATCCCTACTTGGGGAAAGCAGAAAGTATACCAGAACTGGGAAGCCCTCAGCAAGAGAAGGAGAAAACTCCGTGTCTGTTACATGGAAACCACTCATATCAAAACCCTGGCCTCTTCCTCCTTTGAAACTCACAGGGTTTAATCAAGAATATACATAAGGCAACATAACACTGCAGCCTAAAACCTTTCTTTCACTGAGTTCTGGTGATGGACAAGTACCAGAGTATTCTACAGTCAATAAATATCTCTTCAATAAATAATACTATTTAATAATAATAATAAGAAATTATATAATCAGGCCCCAAATACCTTCAGACTCTTTTCAATAACTTTTCAACTTTGTCCCTTATATATCATTTCACTGCCACTATTGTTACCATCTCACACTTTACTATAATTATCATATAATAAATCTTGTTTCTTCAAATCTCTATTTCCTTTTAATCAACCTTGCACCCTGCCACCAGATTAAATTTCTTAAAACTACCAACAAAAAAAAGCTGACCTATCTATATTTAATATCCTGGAAAAACACCTGTATATATGTACCAGGAGTAATGTATAAGAATATTCCTGTGCTCACTTCAGCAGCACAGCATATACTAAAAAATAAAAGAATGTTCCTAACAAAAAGATTGTTAAAAAATCTGGAACTAATAAAACACTCATCAACAGGTGAAAAAGTTGAAATGTATACATCAGTGAAAATGAGTCATGCTGTTAAGCAGCAAAATGAATCATAGTAACATAGGGTTTCCCTGGTGGCTCAGTGGTAAAGAATCCATCTGCAATGCAGGGGACCTGGGCTTGATCCCTGGGTTGGGAAGATTCCCTGGTGAAGGGAATGGCTACCCACTCCAGTATTCTTGCCTGGAGAATCCCATGGACAGAGGAGCCTGGCGGGCTACAGTCATGGGGTCACAAGAGTCAGACACGACTACTGACTGACACTTTCACTTTGAAGTAACACACTGTTGAACAAAAATAAGCCAACTGCAAAATATAAAGCATGGTTCCAGTTATACCAAAAGCAAATAAAGATGACTCATTAAGAATAAGTGTGTAACTGAACAATAAAGAAAGCTACGGACAGATTAAATAAAAAGTGAGGACAGTGCTTCCCTCTAAAGTATGTGGAAAAAGATAGGGTCAGAAAAGGGCATGGGGTAATGTACTGCTCATGTTCCACTTCCTTCTGAATTTAGGAGCATTCGTTTTATGGTTTTTGGTATACCTTACCCATATGCTAGAAATACTCATTTGTATTATTAAGTATGAATATATATTGAAAATGATTTAAAGATGCAGTCACACAATGCACATCTAAGTTTGCCTGATCCTGCACTGACAGCTTTCAAAGAATAAGGAGCCCTTTACTAAAATATAGGTAAGCTTAGAAACAGAGATTTGGGGAACCTCAATATTTGACTCAAGAATTTTCAGAGACAGAACTTTTACCTGTTCTGATGAATCACAAATAAGTTAAACCAAGAGTTCTCATCTTCTTTCGGTCTCAACATTGTTACTTTTTTGTTGACAAACATTCGATAGAGCCTTTCATCTGGAATGGATCCTGAAATAGACATTACATTATTTAAAAAGTTCTGCTTCTAAATTATGTGCTTCTCTGAGTATCTTGTTTTCCTATCAGAGAGATATTTGAAATCTGATATCATTATTCACAAATGAAAATGTTCCAAGTTCATGCCTGACAGCTGCTGAGCAGTTGTTTAGTCGCTCAGTCATGTCAGACTCTTTCTGACCCCATGGACTGTAGCTGGTCAGGCTCCTCTGTCCGTGAGATTTCCCAGGCAAGTACTGGAGTGTTTGCCATTTCCTCCTCCAGGGGTCTTCCCAACCCAGGGATTGAATCCGCGACTCCTACAAGTGTCCAGCATTGGCAGGGGGGAGTCTTCACTGCTGAGCCACCGGGGAAACCTGCTGAGCAGTTAATTGCATTCAAAGAATGTTTTCCATGTCAAGCATACTTACCTTCAAAATCTAGAAAATGGAGAATAAAAATGTTTTCTATGCTCACAGTCTTACTAAAATTTTTAATAATATTGTTTTCTACTCTATTTTTTCTATGTGTACTTTTGATCTAACATATACATTGTAAAATCCACAGAAATGACATTAAAAGGGGTGAGATTTTAAAATGTAGTTAAAAATAAGTTTATGTATATTATGCTTTTAAATAAAAACAGTGTGCTTTTAAATAACTTAATGACTTTTAAATAACTCCTCCTAATTCTCCAAGGATCATCTTAGTCTAGTAGAGGTGAATGAAAATAAACATGCAAATTGTAATTTTAAAAAATACTATAAAAGGAAAAAAAGTCAGGATGCTAAGAAGGCAATTATCAGTGGGAGGACTCACTTCATGGAGTGATTAGGGAAGAAAAGCCGATGCTGCAGAAGTATAAGAGCTAGAAGACGTCTAGCTTCCAGAGAGAACTCTTAGTGCGGCCAATGAAATGATGGTGGAATGTATGACTGGGACAAAAAAGGCAAGACATGAAAATCCAGGGCATTAGAAGGTTGATCTCCTTAGCTGCAGAAGCACTGAGAACCCTGACAAAATTGGAAGGTAAGCAGGTAAGAAAACTGAGGTAATGGAAAGGGTAGTTTATCGGTTGGCAGTCAGCTTCAAGGGTGTCTGAAAAGGAAGGACAGAGGGTGGCAGCGAGAAGCAAGGAGAGCAGGGACTTGCCCTCCAGCCCTTCGACCCTAAGCCTGTGAGAGGCCAGGAGAAAACTGCACAGGACACAGGAACCTCATGGGCCAGTGTCACTGAGAGTGGCAGAGCACAGGCAGCCTTCAGGGACTGAGGATATGAGGAGTCTGCTAACTGAAAAGGGTTCTAGCATATGGCAACCCACTCCAGCCTTCCTGCCTGGAGAGTCCTGTGGAAGGAGCCTGGTGGGCGGCCGTCCACGGGGTCGCACAGAGTCGGACAGGACTGAAGCGACTTAGCAGCAGCGTATATACAGCTGGGGTGAGAGTAGCTGCTGGAGGGTAGAGATTGAGTCCAGCTAAGGAAAATAGAACAGGATGAGATGAGAGCTTGGGGAAAAAAGGGATGATGGAAGCAGTTTGCTTCTGGCAGTGACTAAGGCATAATGGGGTCTGTCCTTGGTTTGAAAGTGTGAGGATCAATCATTTTCTTCAGATATGATCCCTAACATTACAGTGATTGAAATATCAGTAGTTTTTTTTCAAGTGTATTTTACTTCCTGCTCTATCACTTGCAAAAATCAGACATAATATTTTGATCTCATCTTCTGTATCTCTAAAATAGAGATTGCCATGATGATTTTCTATTTGTTGGCAAAATTATGTAACTTGGGCAAAGACTCTACACTTCCTACAGAAAATATTTAAATAAACCATCCATCCTAATTATTCTTTAAAAACATATACAAAGAGAAATGAGTACTAAGGCTTCTATTATACTAAAATCACTCAAAAAATAATGAAAACTATGTTGACATTAGTTACAGAGTGAGTTTTTTCTCAATTTCCCTTGGGGTAATTTAAAACTGGTTTAACATGAAGTATAATTTTTATAATACCTTAGGAAATCACAACCCACTCCAGTGTTCTTGCCTGGAGAATCCCATGGATACAAGAGCCTGGTGGGCTATAGTCCATGGAGTCGCAAAGAGTCAATCACAATTTAGAGACTAAATGATACACTTCAAAAACAATAAAACTATTATATTCATATAACAAATATCAAACTGAACTTAACCAAATGAAGACACAAAAAATACACTTTGAACGCATGCTGAAAATGGTTTTCCCAGTAGTCATGTATGGATGTAAGAGCTGGACCATAAAGAAGGCTGAGTGCAAAAGAATTGATGCTTTCAAACTGTGGTGCTGGAGAAGACTTTCTTGAAGAGCCCCTTGGACTGCAAGGAGATCAAACCAGTCAATCCTTAAGGAAATCAACCCTGAATATCCACTGGAAGGACTGCTGCTGAAGCTGAAACTCCAACACTTTGGCCACCTGATAAGAGCCAACTCATTGGAAAAGACCCTGATGCTGGGAAACATTGAAGGCAAAAGAAGCAGCAGAGGATAGATGGCTAGATAACATCACCTACTCAATGGACATGAATCTGAGCAAACTCCAGGAGATAGCGAAGGAAGAACTCAATGGGGTCGCAAGAGTCAACACGACTTAGTGGCTGAAGAACAACAAACACAAAAATAGTCTTCCATTCACATGTAATAAAGCCTAGCAAACAAGTTTTTACCTACTGGAAACTAAATAAATTACAGAAGTTGATAAAGCAAATTTTCTGAGCACTGTAGATGACAGTTCTAAACTAGCACTAATAAAAATATCATGTGAGCCACCAAAACAGGCCAAATAAGTAATTTTTAATTTTCTAGTAGCCACATTAAAGTAAGTAAAAGAAATCGGTAACATTAATTTTAATATATTTTATTTAACCGAATATCTGAGTGAGGTATTTTACATTTTTGCCTAAGTCTTTGAAATCTAATATGTATTTTATACCTATAACATGACTCAATTTAGACTAGCAACTTTTCTAGTGCCTGATATCCACATGATTACTGTATTGGACAGTGAAACTTTAAACCTTTCAAAGACTTCCAAAATATCAAAATGCAGTTTTTCTAAATTACTCTACAATTGTGATGTTCACGATTCTTGTCTGAGTCTAAAAGAAAAAAAAAGAAAGAAAAAATAAACAATAGATACTAAGGGAAAAATATTTTTTCATCGAACTGCTATTAAAAACAAATCCGAAGGACTACTGAAATGAAATAAAATATCAGTCGGTCCATCATGTCTGACTCTTTAAAACCCAATGGACTGTAGCCTGCCTGGCTCCTCTGTCTATGGGATTCTCCAGGCAAGAATACTGGAGTGGGTAGCCATTCCCTTCTCCAGGGGATCTTCCCGACCCAGGGATCAAACCTGGGTCTCCTGCACTGCAGGCAGATTCTTTGCCATATTGGTGCTTATAAAATAATGAAAAATGTCCACCAAAACCTTGCAACATTTTTTAAAGTCACCCATAAATAATAACTAGATTTGCCTCACTTCCTTCCAAACAGCAACAAAGTGAACTTCAGAATTTGATTTCCTAGTTGCTTAAATAATTAAACATTTACCAACATAAATAGTAATATAAAGCCATCTTACCTAAGCCATATAGAGCAATTTTTGTGCTTCCTTTTTGAAGCAAAACTGGACTAATGTCTATCTTCTCCACAGACATTGAACGTCCAAAGTGATTGACAAATCCAGCACAACTTAAAATATCCAGGGCGCAGAGTGCATCTGCCTATGCAAAATATTGTCAAAGAATATTAATAAATATCTAAAAATAAATAATCTGCATATCATGTTATTACTTATTAAAAGTATATTCTATATAGTAGTTATAAAAACCTAGATGAAGATAGTACCTTGTCAAAACAAGATTACAATAGTAAAGTATGTGCTATCCTTTTTTCTATCACTGTGAGTAGAATCACATGCTAAATGCAAAGTGAACGTTTCATCAAAATTTATCATGTCTTGTCCACTGAAAAATAAAACCAGCTACAGAATCAGTTATTTGTCATATTAAGCAGACGTCTCAAGAGGTGAGGAAAAAAAGACTAGCTAAATAGTGATTTATAATATATTAATGACCAGAAAAAAATAAAATTATATTTTGAGATTTTAGGATCCCTATTATTTGATATCTTCCTCGATTTACAGTGGATTTATGTACCAATAAATCCATAGTAAATTGAAAATACTAAGTAAAAAATGTAGTTAAAGTACCTAATCTACTGAAAATCATAGCTTAACCTAGCCTACTTTAAACACGCTCAGAACACTTACGTGAGCCTTACATGAGTGAACACTTACATGAATTGGGAAAAAGTATAAATATTTTACAATAAAGTACTGAGTATCATGTATTGTTTACTGGATAATCTAGTGTACATGAAGAACAGAATGGCTGTAAGGTACATACACATACAGAATGGTTCTAAGTGTGGCAACTGTTTACCCTTGGGCTGGGTGTCTGATTGGGAGCTGGGCCTCACTGTCTTTACTCAGCATCATAAGAGAGTTATCTTCCCACAAATCATTAGCGCAAAAAAAGATCAAAACTCATAATTCAGTTTCAACTGAATGCATGTCAGTTTTGCACCACTGTAAAGTTGAAAAATCTTAGGTCAAACCATCATAAGCTGAAGATAGTCTGTACTTTCTTATCAAACAAAACAAGATGCTCTAATTTAAATTTAAAACTGTTCATGAAACAATTATTTCCTACAGTGAGATTTTTGAGATAAAAGCACCAGGTAATCTGTAAAGCATTATACAAATGTTAGGTTATTCCCAACATTTATTTATTCCTAAATGTTATTCCTTCTACTAGTTACTTACTGCTAACTTTGGTACTCAAGAAATAAAAGCATATCTCACACATCAATTATTATCTCGGATTTTTTTACGTATCTAAACAGCAGTATAAAAGCGTATATGAATATCAAAAAGTCAGTTTGAATCTCTGAGTCAATCTGACTAAAAGTTGCTGGGAAGAAGTGGAAGAATGTTTTCCGTAGAGAAATTAAACAGAAAATTTCTAAAATTTCAACAAACTTTAAGAACACAATAATTACCCCTGTGGGATCATCATGATTGCCATGAATACTAAACACTGGAATTGAAATGTTGAGATTGCCATCTTGGTAGTTCACCCACGGAAACCTTAAAAAAGAAAGAAAGAAAAAGTTTCTGTAAGAGACAAAAGCCCTTTCCTCTATTTTCCCCCTCCAAAAACTTAATACAGTTACAGGCAAACTGGATGATCTAAGTTGGCAGATGACTACTAGTTTGGAGCTTTAAAAAAAAATTTTTTTAAATTAAAAAAATCAATCATAGGCAATAATTCAAGTCTGAAAAGATCTCAAAGTACTGCACTTAAAAAGAAAACCTTACAGTATATGATGCTTGTGACCTGTACAAATGATTTGATTATCTGAATAAAAAGCTAATAGGCTTTCAAAATTTTGGAAGTCTTTGTGTAAGGTCTGTATTTGAACTGTAGAAGTGGGAGAGGAAGAAATACTACTCTGAAATACAAAAGACCTTGATTAAAAATTCCAGTTCTACAGCATTGAAACAAGTATACTATCAAGGGTGAAAGACATCACCAGCCCAGGTTGGATGCATGAGACAAGGGCTCAGGGCTGGTGCACTGGGAAGACCCAGAGGGATGGGATGGAGAGGGAGGCAGGAGGGGGGATCGGGATGGGGAACACATGTAAATCCATGGCTGATTCATGTCAATGTATGGCAAAAACCACTACAATACTGTAAAGTAATTAGCCTCCAACTAATAAAAATAAATGGGAAAAAAAAAGTTCCAGTTCTATCACTCCCTACTTGTATGACAAATTTTCACACTACTCCTGTCCCTAGTCACCAAGCTCCTCTTCTCAGAGGAAATGACACTAGCAATTTCTACTTTATCTGTGCAAAAATATCTTAAATCTGTAAAACAAATACATTTTCCTTCTTCCACAACTGGCAGCACAATACAGACCTCTGGACCCTGCCTTTATGACTTAACATGCTTTGTAGTAAATCATTCCATATCAGTATATAAAGAGCTTCCTTGTGGCTTTTTTTAGCCAGACACTGTATGGATTATTATAATGTGTTGAAGTAGATACCTATCAATGGACATTTAGGCCATTTCTAGTCTTTTGTTTCACAAATGGTTACAGTGAGTAATCCTGTACAAAGGTGCCCTTGTGAGAGTATAGGAAATTATCTAGGAGGAAACTGTCAGGTCAAAAAGTACACCTACACTTGTAAATTTGATTACTGCCAATTTCCCCACATTGAGGTGGCATAACTTACATATAATACAATGGCAATGCATGAGACCATTTCCCCTTACTCCACTAGTAAAATATATGATCAAACTTCTTCAATCTTATGCCAGTGGTTCTAAACCCTAGCTGCACAGCAAAATTCTCTATGAATCTTTGAAGATCAGCCAATGTCTGAGACACAATCAGGGAGATTAACTGACCTAGAGACTGGGCATCAGTATTTTTTAAGATTCTGAGGAAAAGATAATACACACCCAGGACTGAGAATTACTGATGTATATAAATCCTACAAGAGAAAAATATCTCAGTATACTTCATCTCGTATCTTTCATATTCTTTTAATATGTTTAAATGTCATTATTTCCTTTTCAGTGAATGATGTCCATATTCTTTACCTTATTTTTTTATTAACTCATGAAATTCTTTTAACTGACTTGAAAAAATTATTTATCTATTGGGAAAATTAGACCTTAATTTGCCATGAATTAAAAATGTTCTTTCTGGTTGAACCTGGACTTCTGACTTCCATGGGCAGTTCTTGCCATGCAGAAATTTACAAAGACAAAAGCATCAATCTTTTCTTTTATGGGTTCTGGATTTGTGCAATACTTAGAAAAGTCTTTTCCACATCCAGGTTTTTAAAAAGTGCTTAACAGTTTCCTCTAGTTCTTTTATTGAATAAGCTACATTTTCCTGGAGATATGTGACACCACTTTTATCAAATACTAATTTCCCACATGTACTGAAGCTATTTCTGGAACTTCTATACTCTTCCAATTATCTGCTTATCAATTCATGAGTCACACCACATTTTTTATTATTGTAGCATTATAATATACTTTTTTACAGCTTTATTGTGGTATAATTGACATGCAACATTGTGTTACTTTAAGGTATACAAATTGGTTTGATATATTTATATACTGCAAAATGATAACCACTGTAACTTACCTACCACTGTAAGCTTAACACACACTCCCTTCAACAGCTGCCAGCATGTCACACAGTTACCATCTCCTTTTTCTAGTGAGAACATTTAAGATCTACTCTCTTAGAAACTTTATTAACTATAACTAATACTATGCTGTATATTAGATCCTAGAAATGTAATCATTTTTTAATTGAAATTATACTTTTTGACCAGCATCTCCACTTTCCCCCCAACACCCTGGCCCTGAATTCAGATTTCCTATACTATATAAGTGATATTACACATTATTTGTCTCTTTTTCTGACTTATTTTACTTAGCATAAAGACTTCAAGGTCCATGCATGTTGTCTCAGAGGAAAGGATGTCTCTTCTCACAGTTGAGTAACATGTATGTATTACATATACACACACATATATATATTACATGTGTATCCATTCTTCCACTGATGGACATGTACACTGTTGCCACCACTGCCTTATCTTGGCTATTGTGAATAATCCTGCAATGAACGTGGGAGTGCAGATTATCTCTTTAAGATACGGTTTTCATTCCCTTTGGATATATATCCAGAGGGAGAATTACTGGATCACATGGTGGTTCCATCTTGGAGGAGGAACCTCCAGTGTTTTCCAGTGGCTGCATAAATTGGCATTCTGAATAGTGCGCAAGGCTCTTCTTCTCTCCATCCTCCCCGATACGTGTTCTCCCTTATCTTTTTGATGACAGACACCCTAGCAGGTGTGAGGTAGTATCTCATTGTGGTTCTCATAGGCATTTCCCCAATGATTAGTGATGCTGAGCACCTTTTCCTATACCAGTTGTTTGTTCTAGTTCCGGGAAAACTACCACTGGACTTTCGATAGGGATTGAATTGAGCTATGGAGAAGTCAATGGCAACCCACTCCAGTACTCTTGCCTGGAAAATCCCATGGACGGAGGAGCCTGGTATGCCACAATCCATAGGGCAGCAAAGAGTCGAACACGACTGAGTGACTTCACTTTCACTTTTCACTTTCATGCATTGGAGAAGGAAATGGCAGCCCACTCCAGTGTTCTTGCCTGGAGAATCCCAGGGACAGAGGAGCCTGTTGGGCTGCCGTCTGTGGGGTCATACAGAGTCAGACATGACTGAAGCAACTTAGCAGCAGCAGCAGAACTGAGCTAAACACTACTTAGTAGTCCTCTTTTTCAGGGTTTCCCTATTTTTTTTGTTCTATTTTTCTACACAAACTAGTAAACTGGAAGAGAAAATTATCCAAAATGTAGTACAAAGAAATAAAGTTATAGATATTAAAAAGTGAGTAAGATATAATTTTCAAAAAGAGAACAGGAAAGATGGTTTGAAAACATTTGCTACTGTTGTTTAGCTGATAAGTCAGGTCAAACTCTCTTGCAACCTCATGGATTATAGCCCACCAGGCTCCTCTGTCATGGGATTTCTCAGGTGAGACTACTGGAGTGGGATCAAAGAAATCAAAGAGGACACAAATAGATGGAAAAATATACCATGTTCATGGATTGGAAGAATCAATATAGTGAAAGTTAATATACTACCCAAAGCAATCTATAGATTCAATGCAATCCCTATCAAGCTACCAACAGTATTTTTCACAGAACTAGAACAAATAGTTTCACAATTTGTATGGAAATACAAAAAACCTCGAATAGCCAAAGCAATCTTGAGAAAGAAGAATGGAACTGGAGGAATCAAACCTGCCTGACTTCAGGCTATACTACAAAGCTACAGTCATCAAGACAGTATGGTACTAGCACAAAGACAGAAATATAGATCAATGGAACAGAATAGAAAGCCCAGAGATAAATCCACGAACCTATGGACACCTTATCTTTGACAAAGGAGGCAAGGATATACAATGGAAAAAAGACAACCTCTTTAACAAGTGGTGCTGGGAAAACTGGTC